AGCCAGTATGGTCTTTGTATCAGGAGGTAATGTACCAGAGAATGTGAGTATTGTTTGAGGACCAGCCAGATACATGTACTAAGCCAGTATGATCTTTATATCCGGAGGTAATGTATCAGAGAATGTGAGTATTGTTTTAGGACAAGCCAGATACATGTACAGCCAGTATGATCTTTGTATCAGAAGGTAATGTACCAGAGAATGTATGTCTTGTTTGAGGACCAGCCAGATACATGTAAAGCCAGTATGATCTTTGTCTCAGGAGGTAATGTATCAGAGAATGTATGTCTTGTTTGAGGAACAGCCAGGTACAAGTACAGCCAGTATGGTCTTTGTATCAGGAGGTAATGTACCAGGGAATGTAAGTCTTATTTGAGGACCAGCCAGATACATGTACAGCCAGTATCCAGATACATGTGCTAAGCCAGTATGATCTTTGTATCAGGAGGTAATGTACCAGAGAATGTAAGTCTTATTTGAGGACCAGCCAGATACATGTACAGCCAGTATCCAGATACATGTACTAAGCCAGTATGATCTTTGTATCAGGAGGTAATGTCACATCAATCATGCTGCATTTGGATAAAATTGAGCTTATTCTGTGGTGCAGCATCCGTCCGTCATTAACTTTTTATCTGTTCTCGGAAGGGAACTCTCGTCCTTCCGTCTGAGAAATTTGTCCAGGACATATTTTCTATACTATTTTACCTGGAGTAACCAGATTTGGTGTACAAGGACTTCTACGGATGGCAGAGTGCAAGAAATATGTATTAGGATACTTTCCTAACAGTAGGTACATCCTGACATGTGTACTGTTTGTTAAAGAGGTAGACATAATTGTCGGTGGGAGACTATGGATTGCCTTGCAATCCTTTGCCTTGTTTTAAAGAATTTCTTCTGAATAACCAAAAGGCCCAGGCTGATGACATTCGGCCAGGAACATGTTCAGATCAGAAACTTTGAAGAATTGCTGTACTGAATGACCTTCACCTATATTCCAGGTCATAGGGGTCAGATATGTTGAACACTTTCAAACAATTTCTGAATAACCAAAAAGCATTGGGTAGTGACACTTTGCCAGTAGCATGCTCAGATGATGAGCTATCAAGTTTGTTCATGTGGATGATCTTAACCCACTTTAATTTCAAGGTCACATATTGCCAAATGTGTATTAACATTTATTTCAATAAACGAAAGATCTAGGTTGGTGATATTTTGGCAAGTTACATGCTGAGATGAAGGACTTTATAGTCCGTTCAGCTTTATGACCTTGTCAGACATTCAAGGTCATAGGGGTCAAATATGTTTAAATCTTTTAACATGTTCTTTTGAATGACTTACAGTCTTAAATTGAAGTCCACTTTAAGGCTACAAGTGAGAGATTAATACCAGGTGACTGAGCTCTGTGTGAACTCTGATATATAGTTTTTGTTATAATAATTAATAGTTCAGTATCAACAAAAACGTAAACTTAACACCTTACTACATTTTCTATTTCAGGTGAAAAGTCCTTCGCTAACAGATAAAAAATGGCAAACCAAGCCAACGTAAGTATATATATCATATACGTATTATCTTGTTAGGCGCTAAAGGGAGAGTGTATTATTTGTTTACCTCTGTAAAAGTGTGACCTAATAGGGGAACTAGAGGTAAATCAATGAAATCCCTTACCTTCCATATATATTTAGGGGTTTTATCCCTACCCTATAACCAAATATACAATTTCTAGACATGAACAAAAGAAAACACGCTACCAGGATTTGCCCAGAGGTCCAGACCAACCCCTGGAGACTACCTCCCTGGGACATAACATTGAATCTCATGTTCTAGGTGTCTTACTCACCAAGTCAGATTTAGTTCTTCTTGCAACTTGTATTTCTTGTACCCCTTTGATAAACCTGTATGGTACTCCGCAGGTTTTAAATTGAAAATAAAATACCAGGTGAGCTATTAAGGCCCCTAGGCCTCTTGTTCTGAAATGAATTGTATATATCATTAAACACAATTTTTTTTATAATTGCAGCGGCAGAAAAACATCCTTAAGTACCACACCCAAATGGTTATAACACTAAGTGATATGTTTTCACTTCAATCTAGCAAATGGCATTCTATTTGCTCTCAAGTTGAAATGATGAAATATGTCACGACCAGAGATATGGGTGATGTAAAGAGCATGCAGGATCTGTGTAAAGCCTTGATGGAGAGTGGAACTATTGATTATGGGGAGTACAGTGATTTACGTGAGATCCTTGTTACTTGTAATGTGGAGGCAGGGAAAATAATTGATGATTATACAGAGAAAATTCGCCAGGAAAGAGAAGGTAATGTTTTTTGTTCATTAAATTCAATGACATATTAAAGGGACATCACGTGAAGAGCCATATTTTATTTCACCTGACTAGGCAGTAAACACAAGTGGTGTGAGCGAGATGAAACGGTTTCCAAAGGGGACCCCAGAGAGGGGCCGTTAGGCAACTGCAACTTCTTACTGCACTATGAAACCAAGTAATATGATTTCTAAGTCCGTATCCAAACTTATTGAACAGTAATTATTCAGAATTTAAATTTATTTAGCTTTAAACATATATTTGTTGCCAATAAAATTGAACAAGGGATGGGGCACAAGTTTTTACAATTTATCACAGCCTTCTCCCGTCATACATTTACAATTAAATGTCAACAATGATAATAGGCATAAACATAAAGTAGATTATAAATATATATTGAATTTAGTACCGGAATGTGACCAGTACAGATGGTACGGGGCTAAACACCTTCCCTCAAAGGAACATTCACGAGACGAATATCCCTTTTCAAATATTTATATAAAGTGCATATATGCAATGACAAACTACATGCGAATAAAAAAGGAAACGTTTGTGAACTTATTTATTACATTATACAACTCAATGTCTTTGGCCAATTTTTTTTCTAGACCATGCATATAAATTTATGTATCCTCTCTTCCACTTTCACTGTCTCCATACGCTAACACTTAGTAAGTCATATTAGCCATCACACACAATAAACTGTATGGCAAAACCATGACGTGTACATGTAGAATATGTGTCAATAAGAAACGTGTTGAGATACTTGATAATTATATTTTTTTCAATACCGTACAGAGATTATAGCATACTTGTAAATGGACCTTTTTATGTTGAGACAACTTTTCTTTAATCAGTTCCTTTTGTCCGAAACAGAAGCTGTAGTTATCGGCAGCACGCACCATTTTTACAGCGTAATCAAATATGTTTTCCCCTGTTTTCAATACGTATTTCGATTCTATCTGAAGTCGAAAATTAATTCTTTATAGAGAAAAAGGTTGTTACATGATCATACATTCTAAGTCAACATCATATGAAAACATGAACTTTTGAAAAATTACGATTTAAAAAAAAGGAAAAAACGCGATCCTATTTACTAGAAGTAGGTTCTCCTTCCTCAGTTATTAGGGCCCCGTATAAATTACGATTTAAAAAAAAAAGAAAAAATGCGATCCTATTTACTAGAAGTAGGTTCTCCTTCCTCAGTTATTAGGGCCCAGTATCGGAGATACGGGTGCCCTATAGTAATCACTCTGTCTGTCTTTCCGTCCACAAATTTTGTTCCTGGCTGATAACTTTGGTATTTATTGACCGATGGACATGAAACTTGGTCAAGATGTTCAGTTCACAAAAATACACATTAAGGTAAAAAGTCAAGGTCAAAGGTCAAGGTCATTAGGTTCAAATGTCAAGGTCAAATTTTGCATCTTTTCACTGATGAACATTTTGTTATGACACGATGGAGAAAAGTTGATCAGAATTAAACAAGGTGTCAACCTGACCAAATGTCAAGGTCATTGGGTCAAAGGTCAAGGTTAAATTTTGTATCTTTTCACTGGTGAACATTTTGGTAGGACACTTTGAAGCAATGTTGCTCAGAATTAAACAAGGAGTCAATTGACCAAAGGTCAATGTCACTGGGTCAAAGGTAAAGGCGTTATGCAGCAATGTTGGTCAGAATTAAGCATGGAGTCAATTGTCCATAGGTCAAGGTCACTGTGTCAATGGTCACAGTCAAATTTTGTATCTTTTCCCTGATGAACATTTTGTTATGACTTTATGAAGCAAAGTTGGTCGGAATTTAACAAAAAGTCAACTGACTTAAAGTCAAGGTCGCTCGGTCAAAGGTCAAGCTAAAATTTAATATTTTTTTGCTGGTGAGTATATCATTATGACACTTTGAAGCAATGTTGTGGGAATTAAACAACGCGTCATTCTTGATGATTATGGGGGATATATTGCCACAAGACGGGGCCCTTACTGACCTGTCAGTGTTCTAGGTTATCCTGGTCCGTCATTTTGACATTTTTTTTAGTCTAGCTGCGATAACGTTTTACTGATCCCGGAATTATTATAAATTATGTAAATCTCATTTGACCCCGAGTACCGTCAGAGGATCAGAGAACAGAATACGCCGTGGCCATCACACCAGTTATCCCTTGGAGGGCCTCATGGCAAAATCAAACTAACCAGTCACTTATCCCTTCCTTTCGCATAAACCACTGTATAATTAAAAAAACACAAAGTAAACTCTCTCCGATACATGCCCATGAACATATTAAACTAAGTTCATCTGTGTTCAAACTCACACAATGATACTAGCGAGGTTAATAGTTTTAGATATTTATTCATAACATAAACAGCGCTAGCATTTCTGTCTATTTCATTTCAGCTCAACCGGCTATCCGGAAGAATACATGCACCGTACTAACTAAAAAAGAAAAAGTTACTTCAGCGTGATGCCCCTTTAAGGGATACTGTCTTGAAATGAACATAATATTTAATACATGTGTAGGTGATACATGTGTAGGTGATATGTGTAGGTGATACATGTGTCGGTGATATGTGTAGGTGATACATGTGTGGGTGATACATGTGTAGGTGATACATGTTTAGGTGATACATGTGTAGGTGATACATGGGTAGGTGATACATGTGTAGGTGCTACGTGTAGGTGATACATGTGTCGGTGATATATGTGTAGGTGATACATGTTTAGGTGATACATGTGTAGGTGATACATGGGTAGGTGATACATGTGTAGGTGCTACGTGTAGGTGATACATGTGTCGGTGATATATGTGTAGGTGATACATGTTTAGGTGATACATGTGTAGGTGATACATGTTTAGGTGATACATGTGTAGGTGATACATGTGTAGCTGATACATGTGTAAGTGATACATGTGTAGGTGTAACATGTGAATGTGATACATGTGTAGGTGATACATGTGTAGGTAATATGTGTAGGTGATACATGTGTAGGTAATATGTGTAGGTGATACATGTGTAGGTGATATATGTGTAGGTGATACATGTTTAGGTGATACATGTGTAGGTGATACATGGGTAGGTGATACATGTGTAGGTGCTACGTGTAGGTGATACATGTGTCGGTGATATATGTGTAGGTGATACATGTGTAAGTGACACATGTGTAGGTGATACATGTGTAAGTGATACAGGTGTAAGTGTTACATGTGTAGACGATACATGTGTAGGTGATATATGTGTAGGTGATACATGTTTAGGTGATACATGTGTAGGTGATACATGTGTAGCTGATACATGTGTAAGTGATACATGTGTAAATGATACATGTGTAGGTGTAACATGTGAATGTGATACATGTGTAGGTGATACATGTGTAAGTGTTACATGAGTAAGTGTTACATGTGTAGACGACATATGTGTAAGTGATACATGTGTATGTGATACATGTGTAGGTGATACATGTGTAAGTAATACATGTGTAGGTGTAACATGTGTAGGTGATACATGTGTAGGTGAAACATGTGTAGGTGGTACATGTGTAGGTGATACATGGGTAGGTGATACATGTGTAGGTGCTACGTGTAGGTGATACATGTGTAGGTGATATGTTTAAGTGATACATGTGTAGGTGATATGTGTAGGTGATACATGTGTTGGTGATATGTGTAGGTGATACATGTGTCGGTGATATGTGTAGGTGATACATGTGTGGGTGATACATGTGTAGGTGATACATGTGTAAGGGTTACATGTGTAAGTGTTACATGTGTAGACGACATATCTGTAAGTGATACATGTGTAGGTGATACATGTGTAGCTGATACATGTGTAAGTGATACATGTGTAGGTGGTACATGTGTAGGTGATACATGTGTAAGTAATACATGTGTTGATGATACATGTGTAAGTGATACATGTGTAAATGATACATGTGTAGGTGTAACATGTGAATGTGATACATGTGTAGGTGATACATGTGTAGGTAATATGTGTAGGTGATACATGTGTAGGTAATATGTGTAGGTGATACATGTGTAGGTAATATGTGTAGGTGATACATGTGTAGGTGATACAGGTGTAGGTGTTACATGTGTAAGTGATACATGTGATATATGTGTAGGTGATACATGTGTAGGTAATATGTGTAGGTGATACATGTGTAGGTGAAACATGTGAATGTGATACATGTGTAGGTGATACATGTGTAGCTGATACATGTGTAAGTGATACATGTGTAAATGATACATGTGTAGGTGTAACATGTGAAGAAGATACATGTGTAGGTGATACATGTGTAAGTAATACATGTGTTGATGATACATGTGTAGGTGATACATGTGTAAGTGATACATGTGTAGGTGATACATGTGTAAGTGATACAGGTGTAAGTGTTACATGTGTAGACGATACATGTGTAGGTGATATATGTGTAAGTGATACAGGTGTGAATGATACAAGTGTAGGTGTTGCAGGTGTAAGTAATACATGTGTAAGTGATACATGTGTAGGTGATACAGGTGTAGGTGTTACATGTGTAAGTGATACATGTACATGTGTAGGTGTTACATGTTCTGTATCCAATTTAAACATGGATTTAAAATGTTCGTTTTAGAATAATCAGTAGTCAGTATTAGTACATATATACAAACCTATAAACTGTTAATGCTTTAATTAAGAATTATAGAGGATGTTATCAGGTAGATCTTCCACCTATGTTGATTACATGACATCATTGTTCTTTTACCTACAGGACAACCAGAAGCCAAGCGACCGAGGACAGACGAAGGTGTAGGACAACAACAGTCCACAGGTTTGTTCTGTTCAGTAATGTTTAATATCCATACATTACGGCTATACAGACTTCAATCCTTAACAGATTTTTATAAAAGTTTATAAAAGGATGAAGTTTGAGAATATCTTTGATGAGTACGTACTTAAAATTATAGATCCCAAGGTCAATGCCAAGGTCACTGTTAGTATTTATAGGTAAACCACAGGGGCAAGGAAGTATTCATGTCTGATAGACATTTCCTAGTATAACGACCACACATGTGTAGGTACAGTTTTATGTTTAGATAATACATGTGTAGGTAAAGTTTTATGTTTAGATAATACCTGTGGGTGTGATATATATGTAGATAATATACAGACAAACATAGGAGTAGTATCAATCTCCAACCATAAAGTTATGTTATTTCACATAGATGTGTATAATTATAGAAGTCTGAATTATCTGTAAATACAGTTACTCACCAAAACCAGACATTATACAGTCTCCATTATATCATACTAAACAAAGAAAACCGAGGATGAGGTGTACATATAAACTATATAATTGTTTATAATTATAGAAGTCTGAATTATCTGTAAATACAGTTACTCACCAAAACCAGACATTATACAGTCTCCATTATATCATACTGAACAAAGAAAGCCGAGGATGAGGTGTACATATAAACTATATAATTGTTTATAATTATAGAAGTCTGAATTATCTGTAAATACAGTTACTCACCAAAACCAGACATTATACAGTCTCCATTATATCATACTGAACAAAGAAAGCCGAGGATGAGGTGTACATATAAACTATATAATTGTTTATAATTATAGAAGTCTGAATTATCTGTAAATACAGTTACTCACCAAAACCAGACATTATACAGTCTCCATTATATCATACTGAACAAAGAAAGCTGAGGATGAGGTGTACATATAAACTATATAATTGTTTATAATTATAGAAGTCTGAATTATCTGTAAATACAGTTACTCACCAAAACCAGACATTATACAGTCTCCATTATATCATACTGAACAAAGAAAGCCGAGGATGAGGTGTACATATAAACTATATAATTGTTTATAATTATAGAAGTCTGAATTATCTGTAAATACAGTTACTCACCAAAACCAGACATTATACAGTCTCCATTATATCATACTGAACAAAGAAAGCTGAGGATGAGGTGTACATATAAACTATATAATTGTTTATAATTATAGAAGTCTGAATTATCTGTAAATACAGTTACTCACCAAAACCAGACATTATACAGTCTCCATTATATCATACTGAACAAAGAAAGCTGAGGATGAGGTGTACATATAAACTATATAATTGTTTATAATTATAGAAGTCTGAATTATCTGTAAATACAGTTACTCACCAAAACCAGACATTATACAGTCTCCATTATATCATACTGAACAAAGAAAGCTGAGGATGAGGTGTACATATAAACTATATAATTGTTTATAATTATAGAAGTCTGAATTATCTGTAAATACAGTTACTCACCAAAACCAGACATTATACAGTCTCCATTATATCATACTGAACAAAGAAAGCTGAGGATGAGGTGTACATATAAACTATATAATTGTTTATAATTATAGAACTCTGAATTATCTGTAGTTAACGTCACTCACAAAAACCAGACATTATACAGTCTCCATTATATCATACTGAACAAAGAAAGCCAAGGATAAGGTGTTCATATAAACTACTGTAAATGCAAACTTAATCACATAATATTGTTTAATTTATATTTGGAACAATGTTGTATCAAAATGTATTTGACCTTTGTGAGTATGTGTATTATTTTAAATGTGAGTCTGTCTACTTAATAAACAGAAGACTATCCACGCTGTTGTGATGATTATTTAGAGTCAATGCTGATGAATGATATTGACAATATAAGCGATTCATTGAATTAATTTTGTATGCCCCTCAGGGAGCATATAGTGCTGCCCATGTCTGTCCTGTCAATTTAGATACTATAGAAACTTCATTCTTTGACAGATTTTGATCAAATTTTATACAGATTTCAAGTATAAGGATTCAGGATTCCAAAGTCAAGGCCAAGGTCATCATTATTCCATTATAGCCTTTGGCTGAGGTCGATACCTGGATTTATTGACCCGAGAAAAGATTTATTGACCTCGGACGCAGTCCTCGGTCAATATATCTTTTCTCGGGTCGATAAATCCAGGCATTGACCGAAGTTAAAGGCTACGATTGTTTTATTATTTTACAAAACAATAATGTAAGCAATCTGAAAAAAAAACACAACAAAAAAGCTTCGGAAGTGGGAAGGTGCATTGTTTGGAGACACATCATAATTCTATTTTTAGCTCACCTGCCCGAAAGGCAAGTGAGCATATGCCATGGTGCGGCGTCCGTCATCCGTCCGGCTGCCGTTCGTCGTCCGTCTGTCCGGCGTCAACCTTTTACTTTAAACAACTTCTTTTCAGTAACCAAAAGACCTAGGATGATGATATTTGGCCAGTAGCATGCTGGGATCAAGGGCTACCAAGTTTGTTGAAATAAATGACCTTGACCCACTTTCAAGGTCACTGGGGTCAGATACCTTAAAATCTTCTAACAACTTCTCCTCAATAACCAAAAGGCCCAGAGTACTGATATTGAGCCTGTAGCATGCTGGGATGAAGGGCTACCAAGTTTGTTCAAATGAATGACATTGACCCACTTTCAAGGTCACTGGGGTCAGATACCTTAAAATCTTCTAATAACTTCTCCTCAATAACCAAAAGGCCCAGAGTACTGATATTGAGCCTGTAGCATGCTGGGATGAAGGGCTACCAAGTTTGTTCAAATGAATGACATTGACCCACTTTCAAGGTCACAGGGGTCAGATGTCTTAAAATATTCAAACAACTTCTGCTCAATAACCAAAAGGGCCACTGTACTGATATTGGGCCTGTAGCATGCTGGGATGAAGGACTGCCAAGTTTGTTCAAATGAATGACCTTGACCAACTTTCAAGGTCACAGGGGTCAAATGTCTTTAAATCTTCAAACGACTTCTTAAAACCGAAAGACCCAGGGTACTGAAATTGGGCCTGTAGCATGCTGGGATGAAGGACTACCAAGTTAGTTCAAATGAATGACCTTGATCCACTTTCAACCTAATTTCCTTGTTTGACAATCAAGGTCACAGGCATCATATGTTTAAATCTTTTAATAGGTTCTTATTAAATCTTATGATTGCAAGTGTGAGATTAATACCAGGTGAGCGATGCAGGCCCATTGGCCTCTTGTTAGAAACACCCAGTCCTTCAACAAAAATCATGCACTCCAAGTCAATATCTGTTTTTATCGGTTGACACCTGATGCACTCCTGGCCAATCACTTGTCGGGAATAATACGAAAAAAATTAATAATGCCATATATAGAAATTATCAACCAATTCAGTGTCATCAGTCTACCAACAATTGTAACTTACTGATGGAATTTGATCAAAATTTATACAAAGGTCAGACATCTTTGTGTTTCAGGTTTCGAAGTCCAATGTCACTGTTGCTATTTATAGAAAGTCATCAAACTATTCAGTGTCATCACTCTAGCTACTTCATTTCTTAGCAGATTTTAATCCAGAGTTTATACAGATTTCAAGTATGAGAATGCCTCGGATGAGTTCCTGTTACAAAGGTCACTGCATGTTGTTATTCATAGAATTATTTTCTCTGTATTTCTCCATTTATCAACATGAAATATATGATAATACCTTGAATGCATACATATTTCAGGGTGTCAAGACCATAGTTGTTGTAACTATTTATAGACATTATCAAACACAGAAACTGGCATCAGGGTCATTCATGTCTTACATATATTTTCTAGTATACTAATTCAGATGTAATGTAAATCTCTTTATTTTACAGAGTTCAGTCCCAAGATAACAGTCTTGATAGGTGAGTTTTATCAGCTGAAGTAAACATGGAATGGTAAAAAATATAGTATGAACATGTTTTTGTATTTGGTTTATTACCCTCTTGTTTATTAGTCCCCCACCGGTTCCAGGGGGGGGGGGGGGGGGAAANCTTGTCTGTCCTTCCGTCCGAGTTTGTCCGAGACATATCTTATATACTATTTCACCTGGAGTAACTAGATTTAGGGAACAAGGACATCTTGGGATGGCGGAGTGCACAGCGCAAGAAGAAGGTCACTATGACCTCACTGTGACCCATGCTTTGACCTTTGGCCTTAACTTTTGAAAAAGTTTGTCCAGGGCATATCTTCTGTACTATTTCAGTTGGAGTAATCAGATTTGTTGTATAAAGACATTTTGGGATGACGGGAGTGCAGTGTGCAAGACTTAGGTCACTCTGACCTATGACTTAACCTTTGACCTTCACTTTTGAAAAAGTTTGTCTGGGGTATATCTTTTATTTTCCAATTTTACCAATTCAATTTATTACCAAATGCACATTGCATATAGGCATATATTCTGTACTATTTTACCTGGTGTATCCATATTTTGTGTACAAGGTCATCTTGGGATGGGGGAGTGCAAGAAGTAGGTCACTATGACCTCACTGTGACCTATGCTTCCTGACATAAGTGTACTTTTTGGTAAATATAAAAATCATTACCAACGGGAGACTATGGACTGCCTTGTAATATTTTGACTTGCTTTTTAAATATTTGTCTGTCAATTCATTGCTACTACAAACACCTAAGACCTCATGTCTGAGCATCATTTGAATAATATAATCATCATACTTCAGGTGTATTTTATTGATAGTATGACGACACTGGGTTTCCTGAAACTCATTTCCATCAGTCATCAATCTTTCTTTTTTAAATTATATTTGAGCCTCTTCTTCTCAAGAACCTCAAGGCAATTACAACCAAATTTGGTGTACGTGTCCAGAAATGATGTTGATTCTGATTGGGAATAAAAGGGGCCTGCATCTTCAGAGGAAAAAAAGGGGTAAAATTTGAGTCATCTAAAATTTCTTTTAATAATGAACCAGCAGTCTGATGATTTTGATTTTGTGATAATTTGATAATTGTGTAGCTATAATCATCTACCTTATAGAAGTGGTTTAATAGAGAACATTGATATAGTGCAGACGGAAACACTGGGAGGGGTTTGGGGGACCATGGTGATAGCTAGCAGGCAGACTGATATCTGGCTTACCTGGGGAGATTGACCTTTAAGGCCAGAGAGCTGTCACTGCTGCAGGGCTGGCCTGAGGTACACTCATGAGTAATGGGTGATAAGAGGAGACCAGTTTGGGGGTTCAGGGAGAAGAGGGAGTACAGACGTGTACAGAATTTCTATCTGGATTGTGATCCTCTCAGGTGTTAATCTGACTATGAAGGGAACATTGTGATATAATGTACAAACTGTAAATAAACATGTAAATAGAACTTTGATGTTGGATTATATGTTGTGGAAGCCGGTCACGTTATAATATTTATTATTCAGCACTGTTAGTAAATGGACTACAAAGTTGAAGGAGTTTGGTGATATTTAGCCAAAAACTTACTTGCATGAAATTCTACAATGTTTTAGAAAAAAATGACTGACTTTTATTCAAGGTCACAGTGATTAAATCTGTTGAAACATTCAGATGACTTCTTCTGTAACACCAAGAAGCTTAGAGTCATAATAAATGCCAGTAGTTGTTGGCTGAAAGGTTTTGGAAAAGAAACAACCTTGACCAGGTCACTCAGATCATGCAAATTTGTTGAAACACTCCTATACCACTCTGATGAAAATACCAAAACTCTTTTGGACTGTAGTAAACATTTATGTGAAATTTAGATAAAAATTAACAAATAATGGACAAACAACTCTGGTGATTGGTTTAAGCTGATTTTATATCTCTTTTGATTCTGTCTGTTTACAGAGAGAACCAAAGCCATGATTGAAGAAGATAAAAAGAGAACATTTATAGCCACCAAGGGTTTCCAGGATGCTAAAGAAAAGCTACACAAGAGTCAGGTTGTTGTCATCAAAGGGAACACTGGAGATGGTAAAACAACCACAGCCATTCGTCTCATTCTTGGGCTGATTGAGGAGCAGCGAGGCCGACAACCACTCGAACTTCATAACATTGAAGACCTGGATTCATTGCCTCCTAAATCAAAATTAATTACCTTTATTGATGATATCTTTGGAGAGAGAGTTGCGCATGAAAAAGATGTAGGAGAGTGGAACAAAAGGATTAAATCTGTTCTTCCAACATTATGTGGGGATAAACCTACCGAGGCAAATTTCCTTCTCATTACAATTCGAAATGAGGTTTTTAATTCTTTGAGAAGCCACTCTTTAGAAAATGTGTTTGTTGATTCTAACATCATTGATCTGAGCTCTAATAATTTCAAAATTAAAGAAGAAAAGCTGGAACTTTTAGAGTTATACAAACCTAAAAAGGGTGAGTTTTCATGGAAAGAAAATGAAAAAGAAGAAATTGTCAGATATGCCACAGGTATTGGTTTCCCACAATGCTGTAGGTTGTTCAGAGATATTCCTGAATTGCAGAAAGAAAGGTTTAATTTTTTTAAGAGGCCTTTTTATTTTTTGAATAGTGTCTTGTCAAAACTGGCAGAATGTAATGCCCTATTGTTTCTTTTCCTCAATGATGGGCATATTGAAGCAAAGGATCTTGATCCTAATGGTGAAAAGGTCAACAAAACATTGCTGGGAGAAGCATTTGATATTGATTTGAAGGATGTTGGGGAAGACATGTCGGCATGGAAGGATAAGCAAAAAATTGATTATGTGCGGAAAAGTTTAGACACTTTATCAGGATTTTTAGTGGTAAAGCAGCAAAACTGGTCTGGTGATGGTTTTGAGTACAGATTTGCTCACGACTCTATACGCGACACATTGGCACTTCTGTATGGACAAATCACACCGATTGGCTACATAAAGTATTGTCCAAGAGATTCGTTGAGTCTTTTCACAATATCGAAATCATCTCCGGACAGAATTATGTTATCACCTGATAATTATGAATACATGTTTGAACGTATATGCAAAGTATTCGAGACATCTAGGTTTGATCACTATTATGGTGTTAGTTTTCTAGATGTATGGACTGATAGACAGTTTATAGAAAGGTTTGTCAAGTGGTTAAATGATAAAAATATTGATCAAGTTGATGTGTTAAACAAAGCAAGCAGTTCTGGTGTGAATCCTTTTGTTTTATATCTTCTTTCTGAAGGTGTCAAACCTGACAAGGACACAGATTGGTTCTCATTGCTTACAGGATTTAGGTATGATGATGTGGATTTCCTGAAGAAAGTTTTTATATACATGAACGATGAGATGAAACTTGACTTGTTAAACAGAATATGTTCATGTGGTTTTGTCAAGTGTGTTTTGTATCTTCTGTCTCAGGGTGTAAAACCTGACGAGGACACAGATTGGTGGTCATTGTTTAAAAAAAGTTATGAGGATGATGTAGATATGGATGATGAAGATATGGATATTCTGAAGAATGATGATGAAGATATCAGTGTTCTAAAGAAAGTTGTTGTATACATGAATGATGAGATGAAACTTGACTTGTTAAACAAAGCATGTTCACATGGTTTTGAGGAGTTTGCTTTATATCTTCTGTCCCGGGGTGTCGAACCAGACAAGGACACAGATTGGTTCTCATTGATTGCAAAAGTTGTCAACATAGTTGGTGATATACAAGTAGATTTCGATATTCTGAAGGACGTTTCTAAATACATGAATGATGAGATGAAACTTGTCTTGTTGAATAAAGCATGTGTATATAGGCTTGGTGAGTTTGCTTTATATCTTCTGTCCCAGGGTGTTGAACCAGACAAGGACACAGATTGGTTGTTAATGATTACAAAAGTTGACAACATATATGATGATACACAAATAGATTTGGATATTCTGAAGGACGTTTTTATATACATGAATGATGATATGAAACTTGACTTGTTAAATGAAGCGTGTTCAAGTTATGATCGTCATTTTAGTCCATGTGGTCTTGTTGAGTGTGTTTTTTATCTTCTGTGTCAGGGTGTCAAACCTGACGAGGACGCAAATTTGATGTTTTTGATTGGGTGTAATGTGCATATTCTGAAGAATGTTTCGATACACATGAATGATGAGATGAAACTTTACGTGTTAAATGGAGCGTGTTGCTATTGTTTAGATGAATGTGTTAAATACCTTCTATCGGAGGATGAAGAATGTGAAGAGAACACCCCATTCTGTGTGGTGAAGACAGGAAATATTAATATGCTTAGAAATATTATCAGTGTTATAAATGATGAGATCAAACTTGTCTTGTTAAATGTTACATGTTACATAGGTTTAGAAGAATGTGCATTATATCTTTTATCCGAAGGTGGTAAACCTGACAAGGACACACCATTCTGTGTGGTGAGGGGGGGTAGTGTTAATGTGTTGTGTAAACTGCTGCAGTATGATGTCATTCCAACAGCGAGGGCAAACCAGTCAAAATCATCACATTATGTTTATAAGGTCCTATGTAAGGCGTGTAGGTATGAGAGAGAAGAGATGGTGACCATGCTGAGTAACACTTATCCAGAGTTGGTACATGATACTGATGTATGGGGACAAAGCCCACTGCTATTGACAGCAAGCATAGGAAACTGTGGTATATTTCACACAGTGGAGAGAGTTATACTTAAATCCTTATATAGAGTTGAGGATGAACGACACCAGTGTGAGTCAGTAGATGGTCGTGTGGTTCATAGGAACTGTGTGTGTGCTCAGTACATGTCTCAGTTAGTGGATCAATCCGGGGATACAATTTTGAATATGATTTGTAAAAGGGAGCACACAAAGCTTTGTGGATATAGTTGTGTGGGGGGACATGGGGACATTTTCAAATATTTGTGTCGGTCGTACCCAGCACTAACCACAGTTGTAGATCATTCTGGTTGTCACTTTCTACATCATATGGCTAAGTTTATATCAGATGTAAGCATGTTCACCGAGTGTGAAACTCTGGTAAAACAATACCTAGAGTCAACAGGACGCATGTATGACGTCACAACAATACTTGACAATAAAGGGAGAACAGTGTTACATGTGAGTTGTGTGTGGGGACACAAGGAGCTTTGTGTGTATTTGTGTGAGTCGTACCCAGCACTAACCACAGTTGTAGATAAGGATGGCAGAACCGTGTTACATGTGAGTTGTGAGGGGGGACACATAGAGATTTGTAAATATTTGTGTCAGTCATACCCAGCACTAACCAGAGTTGTAGATAAGGATGAGAAAACTGTGTTACATGTGAGTTGTGAGAGGCGACACAGAGAGTTTTGTAAATATTTGTTTAAGTCATATCCAGCACTAACCACCACAGTTGTAGATAAGGATGAGAAAACTGTGTTACATGTGAGTGGTGAGACGGGACGCAGAGAGATTTGTAAATATTTGTGTCAGTTGTGCCCAGATCTTACTACAGCTGTAGATAAGGACGGCTGGCATTGTCTACATTATATAGCTAGGAATACGTCTAATGTCAACATGTTCACCGAATGTGAAATTTATATAAAACATTACCTAGAATCCTTAGGATTGAAATATGATGTCAAAACCATTCTTAACAATAGTGGGCAATCTGTTTTGGATTTGATGAAATACCATCGGAATATGTCCATCCCGAATATGTATGATAACCCTTTGTATGACCATCTTCTACAATTGTTTGGTAAATGACAAAGTACGAGCTTGTGACAAAGTTGGATACAGTAAGTGATCTCTGTTCTACTACACTGGTTTTTCCTATACACAGTTACCTCCCCTTAACTTCAGTTTGGATAAAACTGTAGAACAGTTATATATAAGGCCAGGACACATCTGTTAACCAGGTATCTTAACCAGTTAGAGTGATAGTATAATAATCTGAAGTCTAGGGTTCGAATCCCGGTTTAGCCCCACTGAAGTTTAACCTATATGCAGTAACCTCCCCTTAACTTCGGTTTGGATATTACTGTACATCAGTTGGGCCAGGACACGCCCATTGACCAGCTATATCAGTCAGTTTGTATAACAATCCAAAGTCCAGAGTTGGAATCCCAGTTTAGCCCCACTGTAGTTTTACATCTATAAAGTAACCTCCCCTTAACTTCGGTTTGGATAATACTGCACAAGAGTTGGGCCAGGACACGCCCATTGACCAGCTAGATGAACAGAAGTGGGACAGAATTACACAGGTTTAAGTGAACCGTTTAGTTGAGCGTTCGTCTCGAGTTGAGGAGGTGGGCGGGACTGTCCAGGATTGAATCTGTTGTTAATGATCACATCCATAGTGTAACGATGAACAGAAGTGGGACAGAATTACACAGGTGTAAGTGAACCGTTTAGTAGAGTGTTCGTCTAGAGTTGATGAGGTCCGGGGCTTGAATCTGTTGTTAATGATCACATCCATAGTGTAACGATGAACAGAAGTGGGACAGAATTACACAGGTGTAAGTGAACCATTTAGTAGAGCGTTCGTCTAGAGTTCAGGACGTCCCGGCTTTGAATCCCGGTCTGGCTGTTGATTTCTCTCTCCTGTTACATATGTATATGTGATGTACCAGTGAATGGGACTGACTTATGAACTGTCTTTTACTCACCGAAACTCACCGATGTCGACGTCATACCATTAGTCTTCGACTACTATTGACGCTTCTACTATTGTTACTGGTACGTATTCCCGGTCTGCACCTCCCGCTCTGTAGCATGCGGGGCTGAATTTTCCTGGGTGATGTTTCCACGCACGGTTCAGTCTTGATTTGAATGAATTTAATGATGGAGCGTTTATTACGGTGGAGTCTAAATTGTTCCACGGTTTTGTCACTCGGTTGGAGAAGGCATTTCCTCTTAGTTTAGTCCTAAATCTTTTCTTGAAAAGTTTTTTGTTGTGTCCTCTGGTGTTGTGTACATTCTGTCCGGCCACGAAAGTTGTGAATTTATCCATGTTGGCATCTACAATTCCATTGCATATTTTGTAAAGGTTTACCATGCCTGCTCTTTCCCGTCTGTACTCTAAGGAAAGTATTCCTAAAACTCGCAGACGCTCCTCATAGTTTAGGTGTTTGAGATGTGGCAACAACCTGGTGGCACAACGTTGAACATTTTCCAGAGTCTTTCGGTCCTTTTTGTACATTGGAAACCAGACTGATGTGCAGTACTCAAAGTGAGGTCTTACTAGAGACTTGCATAGATTTGCAAAAATGTCCTCGTCCATGTAGGTAAAAGATTTAAATATTAATCCCACCATTATGTTGGCCTTCTTCGCTTGCGTGTTGACATGGCCGGTAAATTTCAAATTATTATTGAAATCAATCCCCAAGTCCTTTTCGTGCTCCTTCTTTTGAACTACTGTTGTGTTGTCGTTTCCCGTTAAGGTATAACTTTGGTCCGATACAGATTGCCCAAGCTTGATGTTCATATATTTGCACTTTTCTAAATTCAGTTTCATTTGCCAAGTCACAGTCCAGTGGCTTATGTTATTGAGATCATCCTGCATGGAGTCAATGCACTCGGGTGATGTTATATCACCGAAAATTTTGGCTTCGTCAGCAAACAGTTTAGCTATATTGTTTGTCACATCCGGTAGATCGTTGACGTATATTAAAAACAATATCGGTCCCAGAACGCTACCCTGAGGCACTCCACTCGTAACCGAAATTGATTTAGATGCCTTGCCATTGATCACTACTTGCTGTTCCATGTCATGGAGGAAATCACATATCCAAATTCCGATACTACCGTCAATCCCATATCCCTTGACCTTTTCAAGCAGCCTTCTGTGAGGAACTGTATCAAAGGCCTTACTAAAGTCTAGGTACACTACATCAACCTCATTCCGGTTGTCCAGAGATTCCGTCCAACTTTCCATAATTTCTAGCAGTTGAAGGTTACATGAACGTTTGCTCCTAAAACCATACTGGTGATCCGAGAACAGTTTGTTACTAGTCCTGTGTTCGACCTCTCTGTTCCTGATAATTCTCTGAAGTGATTTTCCAAATACAGATGATAGACTGATTGGACGATAGTTGCCACTATCTTGTTTCCTACCTTTTTTGTAGATTGGTGTTATATTGGCTTTTGTTCCAATCGTGTGGTAATACTCCTTCCTCCAGTGATTTGTAGGAACTTTATATTTTAAAGTCCATAACACTGTGCTAGGAGTGGAATATCAAATATCTTCGTTGCTATAGTGATTCTGTAGAATTTTGTTATTAGCATGTCTTTCTATGTACATATTTTAAATGTAACAAGCATGTCTGTCTATGTACATATTTTAAATGTAACAAGCATGTCTGTCTATGTACACATTTTATATGTAACAATCATGTCTGTCTATGTACATATTTTATATGTAACAAGCATGTCTGTCTATGTACATATTTTATATGAAACAATCATGTCTGTCTATGTACATATTTTATATGTAACAAGCATGTCTCTCTGTGTACATATTTTATTTGTAACATGCATCTCTCTCTATGTACATATTTTATATGAAAATGACGGTGAATTATTACATAGATATGTAGTGACGTTACTTAACGATATGAGACGTTTCTGTAACATGTATATTATGATGTTGTGTAGTCACTGTGTACATGTGTATGGGCCAGTGTACGTGTGTATAGGCCTGTGTACGTGTGTATAGCCCAGTGTACGTGTGTATAGGCCAGTGTACATGTGTATAGGCCAGTGTATGTGTGTATAGACCAGTGTATATGTGTATAGGCCAGTGTACGTGTGTATAGACCAGTGTACGTGTGTATAGGCCAGTGAACATGTGTATAGGACAGTGTACGTGTGTATAGGCCTGTGTACGTGTGTATAGGCCAGTGTATGTGTGTATAGGCCAGTGTACGTAGGTATAGACCAGTGTACGTAGGTATAGACCAGTGTACGTGTGTATAGGCCAGTGAACATGTGTATAGGACAGTGTACGTGTGTATAGGCCTGTGCACGTGTGTATAGGCCAGTGTATGTGTGTATAGGCCAGTGTACATGCGTATAGGCCTGTGTACGTGTGTATAGGCCCGTGTACGTGTGTATAGGCCAGGGTACGTGTGTATAGGCCAGTGTACGTGTGTATAGGCCAGTGTATGTGTGTATAGTCCAGTGTACGTGTGTATAGGCCAGTGTATATGTGTATAGGCCAGTGTACGTGTGTATAGGCCAGTGTACGTGTGTATTGGCCAATTTACGTGTGTATAGGCCAGTGTACATGTGTATAGGCCAGTGTATGTGTGTATAGACCAGTGTATATGTGTATAGGCCAGTGTACGTGTGTATAGGCCAGCGTACATGTGTATAGGCCAGTGTACGTGTGTATAGACCAGTGTACATGTGTATAGGCCAGTGTACGTATGTTTAGACCAGTGTATGTGTGTATAGGCCAGTGTATGTTTGTATAGGCCAGTGTACGTGTGTATAGGCCAGTGTGTGTGTGTATAGGCCAGTTTACGTGTGTATAGGCCAGTGTACATGTGTATAGGCCAGTGTATGTGTGTATAGGCCGGTGTACGTGTGTATAGGCCAGTGTACGTGTGTATATGCCAGTGTATGTTTGTATAGGCCAGTGTACATGTGTATAGGCCAGTGTACGTAGGTTTAGACCAGTGTATGTGTGTATAGGCCAGTGTATGTGTGTATAGGCCAGTGTATGTGTGTATAGGCCAGTGTACGTGTGAATAGGCCGGTGTATGTGTGTATAGGCCAGTGTACGTGTGTATAGGCCAGTGTACGTGTGTATAGGCCTGTGTACAAGTGTATAGGCCAGTGTACGTGTGTATAGGCCAGTGTATGTATGTATAGGCCGGTGTACGTGTGTATAGGCCGATGTACGTGTGTATAGGCCAGTGTACGTGTGTATAGGCCAGTGTTTATACTGCTGTAAATGTATCAGATATTTTGTGTATGTTTCTCAGGTACTTTATAGGTTTCCTCTCTACTGGTAAACAATTTTGTCCCCTGGATGTTATTTAATTGGTCAATTTTTTTAATTATGACGTAATGTATAGGCAACGTAATGCAAGACTTTGCATCCTGGTGTGATGTAATGATACAACGAAATTGTTCCCCGTAATGCATCAAGGTAAACATGGTTTTCTAGATGTTAAATGAGTGTTATGGGAGAAAAAAGATCCCAAAAGTCCTAATGGCTCTTTGTCAGGTTTAAATAACTCTGGTTGGTTAATTTTCAAATTGTAAAAGATTCTTGGTAAGTCTTGTGTCTATATAAAATTTGTAAATTAACTGACCTAAGATAGATAGATATAAATTGAACCATCAGCCTTTGGGGACCCTATATATATATATATGTATAGATAGCCACTTTGTACTTGCTAATGTACTCAAGAGGCACTATACTAGCAAAGAAATTATACTGTATAGCGGATCAGGACTTGGTCTTTCTTCTTTTATGCACTATATAAAAGTAAATAACAGAAATGCTATTCAAAATAAAACTTTTCAAGAAACTATTTACCAGGTAAATAGTCAGTTGAGCTATTTACCGGGAATGAGCTATTTAACCTGCATTCATGTTAGCGGAATGTTTGTCTTCGTTCATTCTGATTGGACATTGCGTTTGTCATGTTCCTTTGGAACATCTCTACTTCAATATTTGTTAGTATAATAAAACAGCTATCATATGGCTTAGCCTCAGGGAAATAGTTAATGTCTCGGGGGACAATAAAAGTGCTATTT